CGTGAAGTATTTCATTTGCTTTCTCATTGCAATTGCAGATATTCTACAAAATTGCTCTTTCTTTGCTAACTCTACTGCTTTCTTCTCAAAAGGCTTTTCTCTCGCAAAACCTTTTCTCTTTGAAGGGAGATATATAAAACATAAAATATGAAACAAAATTATTAAACGTAACTGGAACCTATTGACAACAGACCTTTAAATTCAAAAATGTTAACTAAACAAATTCCCGCTGTAACTATACGCTTTGCACCATTTTTTGTCGCTCTGCAGTATGTTAATCACACTTTCTCTGAAATTTCTCTGCATTACGAAACCTTTAGCCCAATCGGCTGCTTTAACCCAATTTTTACAAGATTTAAACAAAGCCTTTTCGGCTATAAATACGACCACAATTAGTACGCATTATTGTTTCTCGCCTGTTGCTGCTTGGATAAACCCCATCTCTCGCTGCGCCTTAAGAGCATATCAGTGCTTTTAAAACGTTTTAGGGAGCAGATCGCCCCTGCTATGCAGTAATACTCAATATAGTGTTTGAACAGCGTAATCGTCAATTAATAAAGATATAATGTGCTTAACCAAGGATTTTAAAGTTCTTCTAAGAGTTCATGGCATCCAGTGTGCCGTATGCATTGTGCGTCACATCTATTATCTCACTACCATAATTAAAACGTAAAACGTACCACGACTGCGAAACTCTAAACTGCAACACCACATTTAAACAATCTATAATTCATGTCGCTATGCATGAACTGGTTTCAGAAAAATGTTAAATTTCGAGCTAATCATTAATGAAGCTAATTTCTTCTAATATTATAGGTATTTAAACATACACTGTATTCCCTTTCAATGAAATAGATTGCATATTAATTAAATATTCAAGACTAGACTTAATAAGTGCGCGGTGTTTCGAAGCTATTCATATTCAGCATTTTTCGCATGCACATTATGTTAAAATGATTAATCCGTTTATTCACTTGAGGTAAGAATTGATATTACGGGAGCTAAGATTTATTTATTGCATTACATTCATTCGATAGTATTGGTCTTAAAATGAAGTGTAATTTCTTGTGAATATTAGAGTTTCAGGAATATTAGATGTAATATAATAAGCATTATTAACCGAAATCTATTGCTTATTTAAATACATATGATAGTCAGACCTGTTCCACGCTAAAATATGTCATTCGTTCTGCTTATTTTACATTTATGAATGGCATTTACTCTAAGTAAAGGGCAAAGGCAAGTTTAGATTATTTATATCAATCATACCAATTCACACTACATACATATAATTCATATAACATAAATCATTCTTATAGCAATATGTATTATAATGATAAATTTAGAAATCTTATATGGTGCTTAAAAACACGCAGCTATACGCAATTACTTCATTATACGCAATCAATGTATATCATTATACCATCAGCGTTTCATAAGGCAAACTGTGTTTTCATCCAATAGATTATGCCTTAATACGTACGAGAATCAAACTTTTCTACATTTTTCCAATGCATAGTATTCTGTTATAACCTTTAATTAATAATAATAATGGATGCATGCAATTTATTTTGAAAAAACCTTTTCCTTCCTCGGAAAATTATCTTTTCTTATAAATGCGTCATTAGTATTTAACACCAAGTTTAAAATTACTCATAACGAACTCAGTTGAAATTCATTCATATGCGGAGTAAAAACGTTTGATCGCTGATCATTAAGATTATAATAATTTCTTTTATTTTAGTGCATTTTGATATCATTAATAAGTCTAGCTCTCATTAACTGTATTCCTTCCTCCTGAAATGCGATACTTGAAAAGGCAATTTCTTGCGATGTAGTTAGAAGATTATGTTTATCTCGAATAAAGTCGAAACAGATGTTTTGCAGTCCTCATAATAGCAACATGTTTAATCAGTCAAAATTTAATAGATTTTAGGCGAAATACCTATAATATGCAACACATCCCTCTATAGCAACTAAAATATTAGTAATTAATGTTCCATGCCTTTTCAAATTCAAATTTCCTAGTTGTGATATTTGGATAAATTTACTAAATAATTTTTATAAGTGCATACTAACTAAATCTGCTGCATATACCATGCTGAAACCTTGTCATCATGCAGTCTTTTTAATGTGAAATTCAGTGTTTTGTAGTTGCCCCCAAACATGTTTCACTTAGCTATATTCAAGGAACGATACAGTGTGCATGAAATATTCTGTGTAAAATCGATGTCAAAACATTTGGCTGAACAAACCTGCGATTTACCTGGGATTAATTTCTTCAGACACGTGTTTGAAATTGCAAACCACGGGAAATGATGTTTAATTACAAAAGATGATTGGTAATCCTATAAGGTATTTCTCCCACCTTCTTAGCGTGCCTTCTTGGTGTAGTGGTCTGCACGCTGGGCGCGTATTCGAGAGATCGAGTTCGATTCCTGGCGAAGGTGGTTGCTAATTCTTTCCTGCCACAAAATTATCTAATGTCTCTATGATCCTTAATGCTATCTGAACCTATGTGGCTGTTCGGTTCTATCTCTTGAATGCTGTTGTGTGTTGTCCGTACAGGCGGCAATCCCAAGCTGAATATTTAAACTCTCATCCGAACCTATGTGTTGAATGAGAGCTAGTAAATAGGATGTTCCCGGGAGTGGTTATTTTATGTAAATTGAATTGATTATTAATTGTGTGTGATCACTGCGCCTTCATTAAACTTCAATTTCTAAGCAGTCCAGAAAATATTATTTTCTCAACAAATGCTTCGCCTAATGGTCTTAACTGCATTATCAGTTCTTAAAACACTCCCAATTTTTAATCAATCTACTAACAAAATTTAAATCTCAAAAGAAAGGGAAATTAAAATACTCTTGTTAATCGTAATATTACATAGGCTACTCTGATCAGCAGCTTGTAGACAGCTACACGATTAACCCGCATGGTTAAACTATCGTATAGAGAAGCGTAGGGGGGTTACGTTAATCGCAGTAGTTGCACATGTGGTTTGCGTGATTTGAGACAATTTAGATTATCGTTCTACGCGTATTTGCCACAAGAAATATGCCTTTCACGTGCTGCTTGTTATCTTCTTTTTTAAAGTTACGTGTCCCAGTTTTGGGTAAATTCAGACTTGTTCTGTTAAGTTTGCGTAATGCTCCAACAGGCACCGAGGTAGGGGCACCTAAAGCTGTCGAAGTAACCAGGATTAACTTTTCAGAGAGCGCTGTCACACAAATGTTAGTTTCTAATGAACAATTGTTTCAAAAACGTTTCTATTGGCTTTATTATTGAAAGAAAAAAGCGTGATTTTCATTTCCTTCTGGAAAAGATTATACGTTTTAAAACCAATCAGCTATTAACTTTTAACCGTAAAATTTAAATGAAACTTTCTTATTGATAGTCTGTGTTTGTAATGGACTACCAGGTTTCCCTTTTACATGGAACCTAAAACCGGTCCCAAGCCAAGTGACTATTTTTATACCATTTAATAAAGCAGGAAACATTGCATTAAAGAGTGGTTCTTTCGTATGTTTTAATGTTTGAGACGACATGTTCTTTCTTCTTCATGTTCTTTCTGCTGCTAAAGTCTTACATGATTATTTGTATGCCTCTTTATGCATGAGTTTTTTACACGATGGGTATGTAGAGTTTATATCGCCTAACAGACTGTAATTATTTAATTCGGTTAGTAATCGAACTGTAGACCTTACAATCTGGAAATCAGCATGCTCCCATGGCTACAACGAAGCCACAGCCTAAATACACCACAGTTACATTTGGATGCGACTTACGATCAATGATGAGCTCCTTTACACTAAAAATGATGTATTTTGCATTACAGTATAATAAGGTGTTTTCAATCAATTATACAGCATCGTCAACACCAAATGCGTTCCTAAATTGACATCATCTCTGAAAACTTTCTTTCTTTTCAGAGTAAAACTGACATGTTACGCCAAACTTTACACATTTATTATAGTTACTGAAATTACATAGCTTTGGTTGGAACTAGAACTCAAGATCTCTTTATTTCCAAGGAAGCGTATTGTTAATACGCTATAAACTGCAAATGACTATTCCACCATGAGGCCTCAAAATGTAAGCGTATAATGACATGGCAATAAATATCTGCATTCAGTTACCTGTTTCTATAACTGAAAGTTATCTCTATCCTTTAAAATTTCTTACTTTGCTTTATACAAGTACGTTATATGCGAGCTTTCTTTTATTCTTAAAATGACTTTCTGGAATAAATATTAATATAACAACGATTTTCTACATCATAAACGTATAGATATATCATCATTACGAATATATATTCAAAGAAATTTTAAAAACGGATAGTTGCAATCACTCAGCTAGTATTGAATCTTTTAAAGTTAGAAATGTTTCATGCCTAAGACATTTTCAGTTTAAACAATGCTGCCTATCTGCGCCTAAATTTTCTTTAACTCCATAAGCACAGTTACTGCAACTAATTAACAGATATCTACGAAATACGTCAATTCACATTATTGCCTAAACCTTTCTTGCATTTCAGGGTAATTGGGTACATTTCAAGCACAGCTGCCGTATGAACAGTGTCCCTAAATTTTCTTCCATCTTACACTGAAATAGATATTTTACAACAATATTTGGAATTTATCCTAGAAGCTTATACATTGCTCCATATTATGTTTGAAAAGAGGCATAATATAAAGCGTAATCGAAAACATATTTTACGGTGTATATTTAAAATGTAAGGCGGTACTGTCAAAGAACTCAAAACCTTGCAAAGTAATTAAAAAATTTTCAATCAAACATTCTGAAAAGAAAGACAATATCAGTTTACTTAATATGAAAATGAAACTTAATTTAGCGATGATGCTTCCCTTCAAAACTTCGTAACATTTAATGTAAATAGCCATAGAGTAAGATATTTATGTTAGAACAATATGCACATTGACTGGCATTTCTTCAGCCAATGCATAATAAAATATAAAGACAAATTTCATTTAACTTACGTCTAAGAAAACACCATCCAGACTGTACATTTGTGCTGATGGCTCATCGCTCGGCAAGAAACGATAGAACTCCACGTTGTCTTTATACCACTTCACAGAGTAAAGCTGGTCTCCCTCCAAATCATATCCGCAATCGAGCCAAATTGGATCACCTCTGGAAACAGATCCGGGCACACCAAGATACGCAAAGCGTACACCCAGGCATTCTGTTGAAAAAGCAAAGTAGTAAAGAATTTAACAGATCTGAAGTTATTCAAAAACATATAACGCAATTTGTATCATATCTAGAAAAAGAGTATAAAAACATAGTTGAGTGGAAAGGCGAGCAGTCACAACAATCATTGATGTTAATCAAATCACTTACATCTGAATTTCAGTAGAAATTATCTGGAGACAGTAGTTCAATGGGACAAAGAGATAAGCAGGGCGTGTTAAATAATTGAAATATAAAATTATCAGTAACAAAGTAGAGGCTAACTATAATGCACGTAATAGACTCAAAATTGCAATAAAAACTCAAACATCTGTACGATTCATCTGTAAACTGGTGGATGTAATCTTTGTAATTCATCAAATAAACAACAAGCAGCAAACTTGATGCTGTAACGCTGAAGAAAGCAACATCGTTAGTGCAAAGATGAGTGCCTACTGTCGACATATCTATTGTATAAATGTGCGTTTTTAAGCACGAAAGGTATTAAATCAGCTGAAGCTCGTTGCAGAGAGTTTAGTGTTACCGTCATTTCTAATAAAGATACCTACGTGACTCTGTCAAGCACTCTGCTTTGTGGCGGACGAAAATATTGTTGCGGTGGAGGTGTATTACTGTAAAATAATACACCACCTAAGAAAAACTGATGTATTACTGTGAAGTAATTTTGCCACCACCATATTATAGTTGTGTCCCTGATGAACTGCGATTCAATAAAACTTTGGCAACATGAATGCCACTTCAGTTGACTACTGAATAGAACTTGTATTGTGAATTCCTGTGAGATGAAAGTATATGAAAAGAATTTAACATTAAAATTCATAAAGTTTAAAATTTTTTCATATTTTTCTCGTTTTGCTTGTCAACATTTTTTTCAATGCCTTCTTATGTTATCTTGAAACCATTTCCATATTCCCTTAACGCTGAACAGTTTTAGCCTTATGCAGGTATAACTCATAATAAGCCAACAGCTTTTCAATCCTTTTAAAACTATTTTTTTTACCAGTAACTAAGCATTCTGTTTAATATACTAAAATCTTGTTCTTTGGAATCATTAAGAAACAAATTTTATCTGAACAGATATCGCTTATTGGCTCATCACATAAATAACGTGGTTTATTCCACTGAAATAAATGAGTTGGGATAAGCTACCTGCGTCTTCTTGCTACAAAAGCCGGTAGTAATTTTATCTTTTTCTTAATACAAGTTTTGAGGAGTGCAACTCTGCGTACAGTTATTCTTTCAACGCAGAACATTCGACATATTAATGCGGTATACGTGAAATGGACAATGTGCGCAAGTCAGTGTCAACGACGGTTCCAGGAAATTCGAGCCGGAAACTACAGACTAGAAAGGGAACTCTTCCTGGAAGATCTGCAGAGGAAGACGAGATCCTGCAATCCCTGGGAAGGGAATCACATCTTGACTATCTGGAGCCTGGAGAGAATGATTGATAGTATATGTTAGATTAAAAATAAAAATTTAATCTTAATTCTAAATAAATAATAATTAACAAAATAAAACTTTATCTTAATTCCTTAAAATTAAGGAAGTATAAAGAAACCGCATTACTTATGAGATGACTCAATTGTAGAGACATTAGGATTTTTGGAAGCAGAAGAGATGAAAAATTAGCAATGCCTTCGCCGAGAATCGAACGACGGACCTCTGAAATACCCGCTCAGTGTGCTGACTACTACACCACGAAGGCACGCTAGAAAGGCAGGAGAAATACCTTACATACTTCCTCTTTTAAAGAGCGACTGGGGTTTTAGTAGATTCAATCGCCAAATCCTGGGTGTGGAGAGGCATCATTCACAACCCTTTTAGTTCGAGCGCCACTGTAGAGACATTAGGGTGTTTTTTTTTTTTTTTTTTTTTTTTTTTTTTTTTTTTTTTTTTGAGGCCGGAGAGATAAAAAATTAGCAACCGCCTTCGGCGGGAATTGAACCACGGACCTCTGAAATACCGGCTTAGTGTGCTGACCACTACACCACGAAGGCACGCAAGGAAAGCGGGAGAAATACCGTACATACTCCCCCTTTTAAAGGGCGACTGGGGATTTTAGGGGACCCAATCACCAATTTTCGAGTGAGGAGAATCAACATCCACAACCTTTTTAGTTCGGACGCCACTGTAAAGACATTAGGTTAATTGGAAAAGCCAGACAGATGAAAAATAGGAAACGCCTTCGTCGGGAATCGGACCACGGACCTCTGAAATACCGGCTCAGTGTGCTAACCACTACACCACGAAGGCACGCTATGAAGGCGGTAGAAATACCTTACAAAATTTTCAAAAAGTATTAATATACCTTTCTGATCTTACCATTATCGAAATTAATTATTGTATAATCTTAAAACACTTCATCTATATATTTTTATTCCACATTTATGTTTAGTAGCTGAAAGTAATGTTATCATACATTTTGAGTGTTTAAAATTACTTTGAGAATTTAAATTTTAACTTGTAATTTGATTTTACAAGCTCAAAGTTAACCGTCTTTAAATAATGCGATAAATCAACGCGTTAGATCCTTAACAAAAGGTTTATGTCAATATTTTACTTTTTTAAACAGAAAATTACGTTAAGACTCTTTTCCAATGAATTTCTTTTAAATATTCTATTTATCTCTTGAGACTTGAGTACAGCAGAAACCGCTTAACATCATTAGCAAACAAACAGAGAGCGAGCAGGCATTAAATGCACCGATGTCAATATTTTAAGTAAAGTCTAGTGCAATTTGGGCATTGCTAATGAAGTAAAATTTGAAAACAAAAACTAGTGTGGCAACGAATTTCGGAAAAATGATGGAATTAAAAATTTTGGTTTGGAATGAGAAAATCAATTATAGTGATTTAGCAGATTCATTCGCATAGCAAACATTTGCCAATAAATTGAGCTTATTGATCTTAAAGGATTTGAAGAGTTAGAAACAGAACTCACTTTCTTTTGAAAAAGAAAACTTTTAAAATAACATGAAGTCAGTGCAAATTACATGAAAGCACCTGTAAACTTTCAGACATTTTCCTGAAAGATAAACTTACTAGAGTGCCGCTCATTATCCGAGTATTTTTACTACTTTTCATTCCTTTTCAAGGTATTCAATGACTATTTCAAAACGTATATTTTAATTTTTTCTTTTATTCCATCATGCTTTATTTTCTGATATCACTGACATTATCTTCCGTAGTTACGCTGTCAGAGTAAAAGAATTCTAATGCAAGTATACCGTTTCTTCTGGCATTTCGTTTGTAAAGAACAAACACAGCCTACTCTCAAAACAACCTATATTTCAAAATAAAATCAGTATTCCTAAAATATATTTTTCTCAAATGACTATTTTAACTTTCAAGCATGCATAATGTCATTCATTATTCTTTCTATTTATTTCCGACAAAAATTTTAATCTTTGAATTCCATACCTCGAAATCTGAAATAATATTATAAAGAATAAAAACATTCCTGGCATTTCTTTAAAACCCATCTAGAAACTGAAACATCTTGAGTTAGGTCCTAAAATTCTGAGGATCCTAGTTCATACCAGTTTGTTTCTGAAAATGACGGTGAAACTAAGGGAAAAGTCGAAACTCTACTGATCAGATTCCCCAATTCTGCATCAATTTATATTCCAAGAAAACACTTATATTTAAAATAAATCTTACATGTCAAAAACGTAAATCACAGTTACAATACCTTGTATGTCTATACTAAAAAGACGATCTAAAAAGATTACAGCAATGACATTTTATATCTTTTCTTTTTTTTTCTTTTTCTTCTTTTTCTAATCTGAACTCATCTAAATTAAAATGATGGGTAATTTAAATATAACGTAAACAACAAAGTATTTCACAACACGTGCTATCTGGTGAAAATAGAATTGTGTATTTTTTTTCTTTCTTTGGGGGCCGTTTTCGATAATATTTCTGCCTGAAATATTCTGCATCGTTTTGCGCTTATTACTTACTTTAACATCATAAGGTTTCAATATAAAGAAAGGTATTTCTTTAATAAAATTCTGCAACAGATTTAACTTTTGAAATATCACTGCAAACCACAGTAACATGAAATTTGCTTTAATCAATAGTATCTCAGAAAGTAGACAAAGTTAATTGAAAGCGATAAATGGTACACTATCAGAGAGTGTACTATCTGAATACTTTTCTTTACTTCAATTTCTGGGAGTATATTATACTTCTTTCATTCACTTCAGTGGCGAAATAGCAAGAAGAAGCAGATTACTGATAGTTCGTTTCGAGTTCAGTTCCTGGAATTTGAAAGTGTTGGCAGCAGAAGTGCTCATAATATTCTTTGCATGTAATTTAAATACAAAACAGCTTTCTTTAAATTATTATGTTTATTGCCACTCAACGAGCCTTTCGTCAGTTTTTTACCCATTACGAACTGACGTGAAATGGAGACTGGAATAAACCACAGATACAGTAGTTTCACTAGCGAACGGAAGCAGAAATGAACACTGCTTATCGTATTTAATTAATTTAATTCCTTCTGTTATTTAAATGTTTTTGTAAATACTAATAAAATATATTGTTCTGTTAAAGAAAGCTCTACGTCTGTTACTGGAGTCCCTTCTTCAGTGGCCCACCGTGAAAAAGAATAAAGGTGCTAATGTTGGCGAGTTTCCTAAACTCAGCAATAGAATAATTGATCACAAGAATAGGAAAAAATTAAGGAAATACTTTTTTTAAATAAAAATGCGCAGAATACTAGAAAATATTTGTTTACTTTAGGGAATATGATTTCTGCTTCAAAATACATTTTTTAAACAAAGTCTGAGTGATGTCCCTCATATTGTTGACGAGCCACTAGGGAAATTGTCTGGTCAACTAATCGCAGCTAATGAAACATTTTATCCTGTTTTCTTGCCTAGTTTATTTTGCATGTACGATTTCAATTTTTAATTAATTAGTTGCGAGACTACCTTTGCATTTTCATTTTTAATTTGTTTATATGTATAATAAAATAACCAGCATC